TAGAAGATTGAAGATTGAAGATAGAAGATAGAAGATAGAAGATTGAAGATCGAAGATCGAAGATCGAAGATAGAATACCTGGTAGCAGGCGGCATAGTAAAACAAAACAGGTTTTCACTTCACATGCTGTCATGGTTGTGATGCTGCCTGCCTTGCATTGCAAAGCTTGCAGGTGACACATTGTTGAGCATTTGTCGAGCGTTGAGTAGAGTGAAATGCTCAAACACTTTTGACTTCAGACTCAAATTCTTTCAGTGTAATGCTCAAATGCTTTTCAAGCATCATGCATCAGGTGACTGATGATACTATATATGTGTATATATATATATATATATATAATTTTTTTTTCCCCCAGAATTTTCAGAAAAGTCCACTTTCATCTCTGACATATTTAAAGTACAGGGGACAATTAGTCAATGGATTGAAGCTTCATCTTGTTCTGAGAGAGAAGGGCAGATGATGGCTTGGCGCATGATGCGTTTCTGGAATTGGCTTCCAGATCATGAGAAATGCTGTAATCTGGTGGTAGGTTCGCCTCGACCTATCTTTTTAATACATCTATTTTACTATCTCTCATTGGCTACCAATATGAAGCCATGAAAGTTAAATAAACCCTAGAAAATGATCAGTCTTTTGCCCTTTTTGCCATCAAAGCACTGTAATTTTAACACAGTGAGGTTTATTGATGCAGAACAGATGTTTGGTATTTAGACATATTTGTCTCAGAAGGCTACCTCCACCCAAGATGTCTTTTCCACTGAACTGAAATGTCAGCCAACATTTGGTCCCAACATAATCTCCTTGTGGCTTTCTCATACATCATATTAATCCTATCCTAACGGTGGTTTTGTCACAATGTGTGTGTGTGTGTGTGTGTGTGTGTGTGTGTGTGTGTGTGTGTGTGTGTCCTACAACTACATGTATAGTCATACTTTTGTTTCCTCCCTGCATTGTTGGCCACATCTGTAATTTATATTGTGTGCACTAATCCCTAATACACACTCTTGTTGTTCAGGCAAAGAAATTGATAGTCAATGCCAGAAAGATGAACATCACATTGAGAACCCTCCCCAGCACCTTTACCAAGAGTAAGGAAAACTCCACCATCTTCAATTCAAGGTAAGAAGGCACTCACACTGATGAGCGTAGCATTCTTTTCATACAGAGGAGGTTTAACACTGTGCATTTATTTATTTATTTATTCATTTTACCGTCATACTATCAAATCTACGATTAGTACTGCTTTACCTCTGTGTAAGCACTTACGTCGGGATTTCTAAGGTGGGAAGGCAATAGAATATATATTTCAACTCTAACAATCATTTTCACAAACCATTCTTTAAAAAAATTTGTTCTGGAATCACATTGGGAAGTGAAGTCATGAATCAAGGTAACCACATGTTGGTAATCTTGCTAAGCCCTTTATATGAAGTCTTTTTTGTTGTTGTTTTTTTGTTTGTTTGTTTTTACTTGATCATCCTCCCATGAATCAGTGTGAGGTCCAGTCATGCACAACATCGGTGCTTACATAAGCACACTAAAGACCAATACGCAAACGTGCATATTCGGAAACGCACTCGACCTTCAAGGGTCTGTATCATGCAGAATTAACTTGAAATATCGAGGCACCCAAGAATCGCATCCGGGAAAGTCGCTATGAGCGGCCACCTCGGCCTCGACGCCGGCCTCACCAGCTACAGACCGTTCTGCAACTATTTGTCTGATCATTATTTCTCAAAGGACTGCCTGGTGAGTCCAAAAGTGGATTGGCCAGGAGATTAAATCTTAAAACTGGTGCAATTACCACAATCAAACCTGCTGGCGAGGCCAGGGCTCTCAGTAAATCAAACCGCTAGCTAAAATGTTGACATAATATTAGCATTAGGATGCACGAACATTAGCTTTGTTTTCAAGTACATGTCAGCTGTTTTTTTTTGTAAAAATATAAAAAAAAATAATAACCATACTTGTGAGACACTATATCGTTTGCATAGTTGAATAGTACATCTGTACTTCATAAATATTGCCACTTCACTGTGGATCCATGACGTAAGGTTCCAAAAATATGTTCTTCGATCATTAATACTATTAACTGTTTCGTGCCCGCAGCACTTTTGGACGACATCATGAAAGGGGTGCGGCAGCCATACGGGGAGAGGCGGGGTTGTAGTGAGTCACACAGCCCTTACATTACACTGTGCAGTGTAGTGTTTTTGTTTAGGACGTTGCTAGATATCTTTTAATTTATGATTCAGCTGTTAAGTAGTTTACCAAAGTTGGGAGAGAGAATTGCAGAGCACCATTGACTGATTTACAGACAATGCAAAGTTCAGTAAAAAGACCTTAATCTGATTAATGTGGCTACGCTTTATTTTATGGGCATTATTTTGGGAACACGTTTAGGAATTTAAAGAATGATTCATGATTTATATATTTATTTTTTTTAATCGGCATGTCAATGTGTTCGCCACAGCAGTGTGGATGAAAAGGAATTTTAAACACTTACATTGGCATTCCTGCTCAAAGGGCTTATATTAGAGTGATCTAGCGTCAGTCAGCTTTTCTGAGTGGGACTCAACCAAGAAGCCTCTCAGCAGTAATGTATGGTTAAAGGTGGTCTTGACGTTAGAATAAGAATTGGACACCCACATAGATAATACATTTTATTTATAAGCGCCTTTCACAACACTCAAGGACACTTAACAATCAAGAGCAAAACAATAAAACCACAGATAAAATTATAAATAAAAGAAGAGAAGGAGTAAGTTGAATATGCAAATTTGAATATGTATATCTATATATGTGTGTGTGTGTGTGTGTGTGTGTGTGTGTGTGTGTGCGCGCGTGTGTATATATGTACATATATGTGTATATCTGTGTATGTGTGTGTTGTGTGTATATGTGTATATATATATATATACACACACACACACACATCAGTAAGCAATGAAATGTGTATACACACACACACACACACACACACATCAGTAAGCATTTATTGAGAATACAGGACATTGAACAAATAAATCACTCTATCAATTTCCCCATACAAACAAAGTACTCCTTCCCAAACATCAAAAGCGAATATTATGTTCAAGGGAAGTATTTTTACAGCAGCAGGAGCTGAAGAATATGGCATACACCACATGGTGTTACTGCTAAACCTAGAGTATGCAATGTTTTGGGTTTTTTTTTTTCATTGAAATGAACCATTGCTCTGTAAATCAGGGAATTTTTGATAGCTAGGGATCAGGCAAAAAAAAAATGTACAACAGGTATGGACTTTGCACCTTGCTTAAAATGATGGAATGCATTTTGGGACAAGCCCCTATTTTTTCCAGTGAATTGCATAGTTTCCATTTGCTGTAATAACAGAATAATGGCATCGCACCTGGTGCTCCACCCTCATTTTCTTGCATGTAGAAACACATAGAGGCTTCCACAGAAACATGCGGACACACACTGACGCAGTAAAGAGGAAATGATGCCAACAAGCACCAAAATTCCTCTGACTACCCTGTTCTCCTACGTTTGTCAATTACGTAAATCGTACCTCCGTGTTAAGAAATTTAGTAGAATTCAAGCTCCGGTTAAATTATTTTCAACATCACAATGTTAATTTCCTGTCTTTGTCATTTAACTTCTTCAGGCACAAACTATCATGGGTTAACAGGGACATAATTCGGAATTACCACACACACAAACACACACACAAGCACTGTAGTAGTGTGTACAAAAGTGTTTCAACAGTGTGCACAAGAGTGAACATTTAAGCAGCATGTGTGAGAGGCAATCCTGATATATAGCAATTACTGTCTTATAAACTGTGGAAACATCTCATTTTTTACTCAACTCTGTTCTGGACAACACAGTATTATTCATTGGTTAACCAAGAAACAAAAAAACTGTCTTGTTTTGATCCATGAGACTGACGATCTTATCATAAAAATGTTTATCTTGATGAGTTATGATCGTTCATATTCTTATTATTCTCAAAATGAAATATTAGATATTTACATATAGCATATTCACATTGATTGAGGTGTTGTCACACTGAGACGAGTGTGATAAGTGAATGTAGAGACATAAGTCACAACAGTATTTTATCCATCCATCCATACATCCATTTTCTAATCCGCTTTATCCTCACAAAGGCCACAAGCATGCTGGAGTGTATCCAGCTGTCTTCGGCAGGAGGCGGGGGACACCCTGAATCGGTAGCCAGCCAATAGCAAGGCACACAGAGACGAACAACCATTTGCGCTCATAATCACACCTAGGGACAATTCAGAGTGTCCAATCAGCCTGCCATGCATCTTTTTGAAATGTGATTGGAAACTAGTACCCGGAGAAAACCCATGCGCGCACGGGGAGAACATGCAAACTCCACACAGGAAGGCGGGGGCTGGAATCGAACCCTGCACTTCTGCACTGTGAGACAGACGTGCTACCACCGAGGTTCCACAGTATTTTGTATCATACTAAAAATATTTTTATTTTGTTCCATTCAGGGAAAAACTGTTTCTGTGGCACTTGAAGATTGTGTTCCCTCAGAGTAATACAGAATTCAGCCAGAAAAGGTAAGTCTCACAGCAAAAAAAAATATTTTCTACAAATGTATTGCTAATGCTTTATTTATATTGCACTTATATTGAACTGTGTACAGTTCTTCTGAAACATTTATTTATTTATTTTGTGCAATGAAACTTTACACC